CCAACCCCTTTCCCAGTCTCAGGGTCAACCCCAAAAACATCCTCTTCTTCCTTTCTGCTTCCTCCTTCCTTCTTTCCTTTCCTTCCCTCTATCATTCCTCTACCTTATTTTTATCCCTTTGAGTGCTTAGCCACAATGTGCGATCAGGAAATAGCTCTGGACCCTCGCAGTGTGAGAACATCAGTTTGACAGAAGCCCTCTAATGGCGGAAACCCTCTGCTATTTCTTTCTCAGCCACTGTTCTGTATTTTAGCGTTCAGAATCAAACGTGAGTGGCACTTTACATCTTGCTTGGCTCCGAAGAATTTCTGGTTTCTCAACCTACGTTGCCGAAGAATTAGCTTTCTTTTCAGCTTTCTCCAAATTTTCAGAGAAGCTTTTGCTCCCTTGCTTAATTTATAATGTTGCAGGTGCTCCTACGTCTACAACTGGTACGACCGAAATCATCGACAATACCGAACAGAACCTTGTCGCATTTCGTCGCGAAGTCTATCTCACTATACAGTCATCGCTGGATTTCCAAGAAGCCGCTCATAAACTTTTGAAGATGCATGTTGCCAAAGAGATGGAGGTAAGTGATTCCTGCTGCTGTTTATCCTTGGCTTTCGAATATGTATTTATTTAATTTGTATTTTTGCATTCGCAGATTGAGTAGTTTTAGCCAGAACTGTGCCATATGCTTGTGGATTGCTGCTGTCAGCAGAGAACATATGAGCGCTTCTATGGTCTTCTTTGTGAAAGATTCTGCCGGTTGCGGAAAGAATATCAGGTTCCGTTCTAGGAATACTTCATGGCTTTTTTTGGTACAGATGATACTCTTTTCCTTCGAATGTGTTAATTTTTCAGATGACATTCGAAAAAATTGCTTGTGATACGTACGCGACAATACACAGATTCGATATAACCAAGTTAAGAAACATGGCGCGTCTCATCTCTCATCTTCTTTTTACTGATGCCATTTCATGGACGGTAAGTGCTATTATTGAAGTTCATCCATGTGTGGACTAGGAACCCCTGTGAGCAAAAACAGTGTGAAACTAAAAAGATCATTCCTGAATTGTCTCCTCAGGTCCCTGAAGCCGCGGCAGTAGGTATATTGTAGAGCCAGGCTTGTGTGCTCACGCTTCGCAGGTGTTGCGTGCTTACGCTTCGCTCCGCTTTGGTCTGTGTGTGCGACTGGGCTTCCATCTGCAGTTTTGAGAGTGCCGATTTCGATGCTTCAGAGGCGCCACTGGCAGCTTGCGCTTACAGTAGTTTCAGTAAATGCAGTGAACAGGTCAGGGTCAGGGTTCTTGGCTCATCTAGGAGAATGAAAAGGAAAATTAAATGTAATTGAAAATCAGGAAGCGCTGAGATGCATAGGGTCTGACGTTCCTTCAAGCACCTATTCTAATGCGGGACATGTATCCTCAGAAATTTTCTTCAGTTGCTAGCAACTTATGCTTCCATTCGCTGTTCCTCATAGGTCTTATTTCATTCCCGTTCGCTGTTCCTAATAGGTCTAATTGCAGATTTTCTCTGATGTCAAGTTGACTGAAAACGATACTACCTCTTCTGGTCGCATCTACCTGAAATATGTCTTTCAAGAATTGTGTGAATCAATGGGACTGACGAAGCTGTACGAGCGAGTCACTGATCCGTGAGTTTTACATGTTCGGCGCTCGTTACGCTTTATTTGTATCACTACGTTTTTAGAACGTTGCAACAAGCCTTCGCTGGTTTGTTTCCACGTGATAATCCACAAAACACGCGATTCGCCATCAACTTCTTCACGCTCACTGGTCTTGGTGGACTAACGTAAGTGTCATCAATGATTGACTCAGCAGAGTTGTTAAGACAGGATACTACTTGCTTTTGATGCTATCAGTTGCGGTCCCCGCGACCGTTTTTCTGCATATCTAGTGGGACTCTATTTTACTTGTAGGCTCGATCTCTCTTTTATTGTAGGCTTGATCTCCGGCAGTTTCTCGAGAAGGGTATGAAGAAAAAGAAAGAAGAATCTGTTGATGAGTCGTCATCGTCGTCATCTTCATCAGATTCATCGGATGATTCCAGCGACAGTGATAGCGACAGCGACGATGATGATGACTCAGGTGTGTTGCCCATTAGAAGCGAGTTTGTTAGTGAGACTACAGTAGATTGCCAGTAATGTGTAAGCATATCCATAGTGTAGTTCGCTGCGGACGGTTGGGCGTGTCAGGCGGGATGAGTTTGGCGCGGTGCCAAACCCGTTCTCCACCAGTTGTTAAAGCGAGCAAGTGATATGACTGTATCATATCGTTCGTATTACTCGTTTTCTACCACTTTTTGTCGCATGCGCGCTTCAACAAGAAGGCAGAGAACGGGGTGACACACTCATACTGCCTGACACGCCCAACCGTCCGCAGCGAACTAGAGTTATCGACAATATTGATAACGTTGAGCTAATCCGCAAAAAATTTCTTTTTTACAGTCTTATCGCTTGATTGCTTCAGTTCGTTTTTCTTCGCCATTCGAAATGTGCTTTTTCCAGTCGGTAGGAGAATGCCATCGAAGTCGTAGTGGTTCGAGCGATGGAGACGTTCCTTCACCAAAGTCTTCGCGTTCTAGAAGTCATAGCGCCTCCGAGAAAAGCGATGTTCCATCACCGAAATCAGACAACGGGGTAACGAAGAGCACACGCGAAAAAGTGAGTCCTAGTATTTCTAAGTCTTCATTTTCTCTTCTGAACATCTTTTGGATTTGTTAATTTTTCATGTGCTTATAGTCATGTAAAGCGAAAATTGTTAGAAACCACATGGAAGCAGATTAGCTGTAGTAGCAAATGACTTGCTTATCCCGCGCGCGGCCCGGTACCCAAACCACCCCGGCTCAGCCCAATCATGCCTCCTACCCTTCGGGGACGTGAACTGGTACCGGATACACTCGGGAGGAATGAAAAACAACTTGGTTGACACCTACAGCGCGTATAGGCCATATCGTATTCAGTTGTGCCGTCACCTAGGCAGAAGGTTGGTAGTGATGCGAATTATTGATCATTGAGGAGAAATGGATTGATCACGACGACGGCTTTAGTCCACCATTATGGTCTGTCAGCAGGAAGCACTTGCTATTTATTCTGCGCTTGCACTTTACAATGCCTGAGCTGAAAGTTAAATAGCTTTCCTTATTCAAAAACTTTGGTGGACTCGAGTTAGCTGCCTCTCTGGATTTATATCGAGTCAACCTTCATCTCACCACCAGTGATATATACACGAAGGCACGGCCACATTTATTAAATGTGCAGACACCCTCCTTCGACAAGGGAGTTTTGTCCGTGAGCAGAAAACAGTGTACCACTGTCACGGCTCAAAAACACGTGGTAAGGATGCCATCCAATCGCGACTAAGGCAATGCTCCGCCCAATCCCCATGCTTCAGCCAGCGGTCATTACTAATGGCACTCAATGCTGTGGCTTTCCCACCAACTCTTTCCATTCCGCATGGTGAAATGATTGATAATGGGAAACTGTTGATAGCGTTCAATACTAACAAATGAAAGCTCGCAGAAGTACGCCCGTTCTTCGCTTTGTGTTCGTGCTTTACGCTTGGCTTTCTATGCCCAAAGCATCTCTGTAAGTTTTTTTACTTCACGTTTGAGTCTAATCGCCCGCCTTACAATATTATCCGCCACCCATTTCTAAGCGCCTAAGTGTCTTGCCTTCAGTCGATTAGCTCACCCGACTTTGGTCGATGAAGTAGCACGGTGCCGTCTGAGAAAGGGTAAAAGGATTCACTCTACTGTTCTTGAGTGTTCTTCAAGCATCTGTTTTTTCCGTGTTTGCAATTGCCCGGACTTGCAAAGATTCACGAAAGTGTAGAGCTTCCTCTCCTAATATGTTGAAACCCCAAGACTTTCCCAGACCGGCTCCACTAGTATTTCGCTGAGGTTTCCCAGCCCCATGCTCATTTTTACTTTGTTCGTTTATAAGTAACATATTACAGTCACGCAGCCCTTCTCCAAAATCGAAAGCCAGAAGGAGGTCTGAGTCACCAAGGCGAAGCAGAACACGGGTGAGTCATTACTTGGAAGAAAATGCTTCGCCACATCACCATAGTCGAGGGAGAGAGAATGTATGAAACTCATGGGTCTATCGAGCCAACAATGGTGTTTAGCTGAATGCAGCTTACCCCCGGCTTGTCTGATTCAGAAGTGCAGCAATTTTTACGCTCTTAGACTTCACTTCGGGGTTTGCGTTATCATCGCCATCGGTTTGTTGTGAGGCATCAAAATATGAGCGTGGTCTGAATGTGTTTGCCATCGCATAAAAGTGGAAGTCGCAATAAAAGGCAGTGCTGATGATTTTTTTCACATCTTTTCTCCCTAATGTGGGACAGAGAGAGTTTTTTTTTCTGTTCGGATCGTTTGAGAAGGACGAGATGTCTTCATTGAAAAAGAAAACAGCGGTTACTGTTTGAGCGGATAGCTTTCCATATGTATGAAAGAGAGAGCTTAGTTGTTAGTACCGCCTGTAATGTGGACGGGATTTGTGGAAATTGACGGAAACTTGCAATTTCCTGTAGACATTAGGCTGCATTCGTGATTTTCTGAGCGCTCCGAACGTTTAAGCCGAAAAACATAGTGTAGTTGTCGATCCAGTGTTTTGTGCATTCTGAGCGTGTTGAGCGTTTTGTGCGAAAAGGAAAGTATAGGTATCGGTCGGCGCTCACAAAGCTCAAAACGTTTCTTCCAAAGCGGTAGACTGATACCTGTACATTCCTTTTCGCCCAAAACGTTCAAAACGCTTGAAGCATTCGGAACGCCGAAGAAAAGTATGAAGGTAGTTTTGGCTTGCGGCATGTTTATCTTATAAAAAGTTAACTTCGTAACAAACATTGATGTTATGTTAAATTACAGTCTCGAAGTCGCAGTCCTAAGACAGGTAGAAGAGGACGATCAAGGTCACCAAAACGGTCTTACGCTAGAGTGAGTTCTTTTCAGATACATGCTATAGGATTGTTTATTTTTCTACGGGTTTTTTTTTTGCGATTACATATAATCCGTTTATCCCTCGATTAGTTCTTCACCCTTTGTCATCGGCTACAATCACTTCAAAGAACAATCTCCTCGCTATTATTTTTTCAGTACTAAGATTGGGTGTTGATGGCACTCTGCTCCACTCACGCTTCGTTCATGCTTTGGATGAGCGCACGCAAGCGTCAGCGACTGGTGGAAAGTATAAGCATGATTAGCAGTCACCAGAAGTGGGGAGTATAGGGAAGTAGGAGTAGCAGTCGCCTTCGGATCTGGTTTCGCGAAATTGCAACCTGTGCAACCGCTAAGCACAACTGCTAAGGCACAGGATTGCGCAATCTGATGACGGTGTTGTGCAACCCTCCTAATTCCCCAAACTCTCCACTCCTGATGGACGCTGTGTACGCTAGATTGACACATATGCTTTCTTAGTCGCTGGCGCTGACGCAAAGCATACACAGCCTCACATTTTGTTAGTACCTGTCGTTCTGTCGAGTTGCGCCTTTGTTCCCTTTTTTTCTACTCTCTCTACTGCCCCGTTTTCTTTTTTATCCACTGTTAATAATTCATCTTTTACTGTTTGTTCTTCTCGTCCTCTCTCCTTCTTCTAATAATGTTAAAATATCTAAAAGTATTGATCCCGCAGCACTTGTTATGCTCAGATGTAAGCGATTCATACGTACGACCAGACATTGCTTGACACGCTTTCGGCTTGTGAAAAACCAGTTACATAGCCGTAGAGGAAAAACAGGACTGTTCAGTGGGGATTGCTCCTCAAATTTCAGTCACGGAGCCGCACACGCAGCCGCACACGCAGCCGTGATAGGGAGGAGAAGGGAGAGGAGCAGCGATGACAAATCGAGAAGATCTCGACGAGATGATAGGGATGACAGACAAGAGCGGGATCGCAAAAGGCGCTCACGGAGCCGAAATAGGTACAATGCCGTTTCCTGATTAACGGCTGCGTTCACTACCTTTGCGTGCCGTGAACGCGCCGGTACGGCAGCTTTTCGAGCGTACGCCAGCGACTGGAAAATTATAAATATCATTCAGCGTACGTCAGCGTCTGCCAGCTTATGCCAGCGAACAGCAGCACTTTCGCTAGCAATTTTGCTCGAACTCAATTTGTCCCCGAAGAACGCTGGCGTACGCTTGATTTATCTATACCTTCCTAGGCGCTGGCGGCATACGCTCTAAACGCTGCTGTTCGCTTCGTCTCAAACGGCGACACCCACTAATTACCCCCAATGTATGAACGGTGCTTTTTCTATTAAACTTCACCCTTAATTTTTTATTACTTTTTTTTTTCCAGACGCAGAAGTGATGAAGAGATGCGCGGGCGGATAAACGTCGCGCGAGGGGCGCGACGCGAGGCGGCGGTCGTGAGACAAATGAAGAAAAGGCTGTAGAAGAAGAGAAAACTGCTGAACCGGAAAAGCCTAAAAAAGAGCCGCTGGACCTGTTAAGGACAAGGACTGGTGGGCCTATATTCACCACGAAACTTGCCGATTAAATGCAGATCAGAATCAAAGATAGTATCGTCCATTCTATGAATTTAGCTGATAAATGGATGAGTACTGGTTTGGTTTCTTTCAGAGCAGTGAACAATATCAACGGATGAACTGGGAAAGATTAAAGAAGAAGATTCATGGTCTTGTCAACAAAGTGAACACAGGAAATCTTGTTCAAGTAGTGAGAGGCCTACTACAAGAAAACGTCATTCGTGGGAAGTATGTCACTTTTTTGTTGTATTGAGGGATTTTTTTCAATCCGTTGGTTCAATTTTAGAGGTCTGCTAGTTCGATCGATAATGCAAGCTCAAGCTTTTTCACCCGTGTTCTCCCATGTTTACGCCGCTTTTGTGGCAGTAATCAACTCGAAGTTTCCTCATATTGGTGAGCTGCTCCTCAGGAGACTGATTGTTCAATTCAAGCGCTCGTTCAGAAGAAACGATAAAGGTTTGAAGCTGCCATCGCAAAGTTCTATTTCCTTCGTAAAAGATTATTTTCAGCAACCACAGTCACTGTCTCGAAGTATATTAAGCCACAGTTTGATCAATCAAAGAGTCTCGTGGTTTTTTTAACCAGTTTACGTGTGATGGTGAATGAAGGCTCGGTAGATTAATGCCTAAGCGTTAGATGTCATACCCGCTGTGGACTTTCATTTCACCTGTTTCACCGCTTTTAGGCTCTGCGGTCGGCCCACACAAATACATTACCCAGCCGAAGGTACAGGCCGCCTCGTGCAGGCCTGTGAACCTTGCAAAATTATCGGCTCATTTGAGAATTTCGCAGCTTCACACGAATACACAAGTCTCACCAAAATGGATCTGAGATCCAAGCTGAGACTAAGAGAGGACACCGCGCCTGCGGCCAAATACGACATCTTTTCCCCTTCCTCTTGCTCAGATTTTGTTTCTATATTCAATGTCAAGTGTGACATTTAGGCACATGAAGTTCTCGCTTTGGAAATTATGATTTTGATGATGGAAACACCTACTGATGATTCTGTGGAAGTATCGATTGCCTTCATCAAAGAGTGTGGTTCGAAGCTTCTAGAGGTAGTTTTACAAGGATTATCTGTCCGTTCGACCAATACCAATTTATTCGCTTTCAGGTCTCTCCGAGAGCTCTGGACACAATATTCACGCGTCTTCGTGGAATCGTACAGGATGGTGACTCTATGAACCTTGACAAACGCGTGCAATATATGATTGAAGTCGTTTTGACAATTCGTAAAGATAAGTTCAAAGTAAGTTCGCTTAGTTAGTGTTTTGATTGTGAGTACGCTGCTTTCAGTAGTGCAAGTCCCGAGTGGCGCATGTTTCAGGCGTATCCTGCAGTTCTCGATGAATTGGATCTCATCGATGAAGAAGATCAAATAACTCACACAATTTCTCTCGAGGATGCTATAAATCCTGAAAACGAGCTGAGTAAGTTTTAGTCCACAATGTGTCGTTGCACTGGAAAGACAAACAGTCTTCAAAAAATATTTCAGGCTCTGAGAGCCAGCCTTTCCAGGCCGTCTGCGGCCTGTGTTTAACTTCAAAGGGTGACTCCGTTCTTGTTCAGATGTTTTCAAGCTCGACCCTGAATTTGAGAAGAACGAGCAGCAGTACGACGAAATTCGTGCTGAAATCATTGGCGATGACGAAGACAGCGACGAAGAGAGCGAAGATGACGGCATTGGCAGCGGTGACGAAGGAGACGGTCAGCCAGGTTTGTGCTTATTAAGACCTTGAGTTTTCCTTTCTGCCGTTTTCTTTCTTTTTCGCGTTGAATGTCGATAGGTAAGAAAGTTGAAAGCAGTCTGTAGGCTAAACTATAATAGTAGTCAGGCTCTGTAGCAAACCTCTGCGTCGCATTACTCTCGTATTTTCCAAATCACTAAACTGCTAGTGAGAAGCGCGAAACTTGAGCGGTTCGTTTTCTTCGTTTGAGTTGTAGCCCACGTTCCACTCTCTTTCTCCGTCTCAGGATATCTGTCAACCGCGAAAACTTCCTCTTCTCCCATTCTGCTTCCTTCTTCCCTTTCCTTTCCTTCCTTTCATTCCTCTACTTTATTCTTATTGAGTGCCTAGCCACAATGTGCAATTAATAGTCTGGACCCTCGCAGTGTGAGAACATCAGTTTGACAGAAGCCCTCTAATGGCGGAAACCCTCTACTATTTCTTTCTCAGCCGCTGTTCTGTACTTTAGCGTGAATCAAACGCGTGGCACATTACATCTTGCTTGGCTCCAAAAAATTTCTGGTTTCACAACCAACGTTGCCGAAGAATTCAGCTTTCTTTTCAGCTTTCTCCAATTTTCAGAGAAGCTTTTGCTCCCCTGCTTAACTTATGATGTTGCAGGTGCTCCTGCGTCTACAACTGGTACGACCGAAAATCATCGACAATTACCGACAAACTTGTCGCATTTCGTTCGCGAAGTCTATCTCACCTATACAGTCATCCGGGATGGTCCCAAGAAGCCGCTCATCAAACCTTTTAAAAGATGGCATGTTGCCAAAGAGATGGAGGTGAAGTGATTCCTGCTGCTGTTTATCCTTGGCTTTCGAATATGTATTTATTTAATTTGTATTTTTGCATTCGCAGATTGAGTAGTTTTAGCCAGAACTGTGCCATATGCTTGTGGATTGCTGCTGTCAGCAGAGAACATATGAGCGCTTCTATGGTCTTCTTTGTGAAAGATTCTGCCGTTGCGGTAAAAGAATACCAAGGTTCCGTTCTAGCCGATGACTTCATGGCTTTTTATTAGACACTTGATACTCTTTTCCTTCGAAAGTGTTAGTTTTTCAGATGACATTCGAAAAAATTGCTTGTGATACGTACGCGACAATACACAGATTCGATATAACCAAGTTAAGAAAACATGGCGCGTCTCATCTCTCATCTTCTTTTTACTGATGCCATTTCATGGACGGTAAGTGCTATTATTGAAGTTCATTCCATGTGTGGACTAGGAACCCCTGTAAGCAACAGCCAGTGTGAAACTAAAGATCTTTCCCTGAACTGTCTCCTGAGGTCCCTGAAGTCCGACAGTTAGGTTATTGTAGAGCCAGGATTGTGTGCTTACGCTTCGCTCCGCTTTGGTCTGTGCGTGCGACTGGGCTTCCATCTGCAGTTTTGAGAGTGCTCGATGCTTCAGAGGCGCCACTGGCAGCTTGCGCTTGCAGTAGTTTCAGTAAATGCACTGAACAGGTCAGGTAACAGGGTTCTTGGCTCATCTAGGAGAATGAAAAGGAAAATTAAATGTAATTGAAAATCAGGAAGCGCTGAGATGCATAGGGTCTGACGTTCCTTCAAGCACCCATTCTAATGCGGGACATGTATCAGAAATTTTCTTCAGTTGCTAGCAACTTATGCTTCCATTCGCTGTTCCTCATAGGTCCTATTTCATTCCCGTTCGCTGTTCCTAATAGGTCTAATTGCAGATTTTCTCTGATGTCAAGTTGACTGAAAACGATACTACCTCTTCTGGTCGCATCTACCTGAAATATGTCTTTCAAGAATTGTGTGAATCAATGGGACTGACGAAGCTGTACGAGCGAGTCACTGATCCGTGAGTTTTACATGTTCGGCGCTCGTTACGCTTTATTTGTATCACTACGTTTTTAGAACGTTGCAACAAGCCTTCGCTGGTTTGTTTCCACGTGATAACCCACAAAACACGCGATTCGCCATCAACTCTCGCATCCGCTAACTGCGTCTTGGTGGCTACGTAAGTTCATCGAATGATGACTCACAGAGTTGTAAGAAAGGATACTAGCGAGGATGCTACTTGCTTTTGATGCTATCAGTTGCGGTCCCCGCGACCGTTTTTCTGCATATCTAGTGGGACTTTATTTTATTGTAGGCTCGATCTCTCTTTTATTGTAGGCTTGATCTCCGGCAGTTTCTCGAGAAGGGTATGAAGAAAAAGAAAGAAGAATCTGTTGATGAGTCGTCATCGTCGTCATCTTCATCAGATTCATCGGATGATTCCAGCGACAGTGATAGCGACAGCGACGATGATGATGACTCAGGTGTGTTGCCCACTGGAAGCGAGTTTGTTAGTGGCACGGCTGAATTGCCAGTGAATGGTGTGAAGCATATGCTATAGTGTAAGTCGCTGCGGACACGGTTGGGCTGTCAGGCGGGATGGAATTCGGCCGGTGAAACCTGTTCGCCACCAGGTTTGGTAAGCGAGCCAAGTGATTCGACTTTTCAATATCGTTCGTATTACTCTTTTCTACCGCTTTTTGTCGCATGCGCTCTTCAACAAAGAGGCAGAGAACGCTTTTACCGGGGTGACAGACTCATACTGCTGGCATCCACCCCCGCAGACGAATTAGAGTTCATCGACAATATCGATAAGCATGTATTGATCTACAATTAGATTAAGGCCTGCACTTCTGACGGAACTGATGATGCCTGTTGGGTGTAGCCAGGAAAATACCATCTTGATGCCACCCTTTCTTGTTCTGACTGCTGTGACGGGTAAAGAAAGCTTGGTGAGGTCGCGCGCCACAGTGGTGTCGTTGCTGGCTTCTTTCACAGTATGGCAACCTGAAAATGTAACTCCAATTACGCATTCCCGATGTTCGAGTGTTGTTTGCAAACATTACTATTAGGTTGTCCGGAAAGGAATGCGCGTTGAATTTTTTGAACTTGTCCATTTTTTTCTCTCCTACTATAGAAGATTTTTGGAGACAGTTTTGTCTATTAGAAAGAGATTTTTATTGTGCTTCTTTTGATATATTTTTGTCCATGTCTTTTTTTGGGGAAAAAAAGTTGGGAAGAGCGGGTGCCGCACCAGCTGAGCGACGCAAACAAGGCAACACGAGTGGCAATGGCCGGAATTCTTCTTCGTCGCTCCAAGAACAGCGGTTTTTTCGACTCTATTATTACATCAAATGAGAAAGGGTCTGCTTCGATAACGCAACGAGAAAAGGACAGTGGTTAGACTCCAGTGACCCTCCAAAACGGACTCCGAAACCTGATATACGCGGCAAAAAGGTGATGCTCCGTGTTTGGTGGAATAGCAAAGGTTTGATGTACTTTGAAGTTCCGGAATCGGGTCAGACGGTTACGGCGGACATCTGCAAACACCAATTGAACCGCATGGATCCAGCACTGCGTCTTCAAAGTGTCGAAACGACGTCGACAAAATTTATCCACGACAACGCTCATCCACATGTGGCGAAAATCACTCTAGAAAAAAATTGAGGAATTGGGCTGGAAAGTCCTGCCTCATCCGCCACACAGATCAGACCTGGCACCATCGATTACCATCTGTTCCGGTCGATGCAGAACTCCCTGGCCGAGAGAAAATTCACAAACCGCGAAAAAGGTCCAACTCTGGGTGTCCAACTTCTTTGAGTCGCAGCCGGTCGAGTTCTTCAGAAGAGGAATCCATTTTTTGCATAAATGTTGACAACAAGTCATTGATACTAATGGAGATTGTCTTTTGAATTTATCTTGTTTAATTTCGTTTTTATAAAAAAAATTTTTTACAGCTCGACGCCATTCCCTTTCCGGACAACCTAATAGTTACTGGGTAGATGCTCAGGAGTTGGAGCGGACCAAGTGTGGCATCACTGCAGCATAATATACCTTGGGTTGTTACTAGCCTGGTCAACACTGGAAAATCCATTTTTTCTCGGAGAACTTCATTCTTTAAACGGATCACGGATATGAGAGCCTCATACCAGCAGGATTTCGGCGATTTTATAGCCTACACAAATGTAAGAAAACTGAGCTTAAGTGGTGGTCTCAACCAGAACCTGCCGTGCATTTGAGGCTCAGGTGAAGTCGATAACGCCGGGAGTTAGCCATATAAAACCATTTCGTCACGGCTTCAGCAGCTACCTAAGAAAGAAAGCTACCAATATGTAAGAAAAAAACCCGAAAAAAAAAAATGGTCGAAATCCTGCTGAATCAGGTTCTCGTCTTTAACCCATTAAGGGGATGCAAGAGATAGGCAGCGGAACAGCTTCCTTCAGTAGATACCGGAACGAATTCAATGATCAGCTATTAAAGGAATGTGTATTT